ATAACATTTACATTTTTTCATCCTCCCCAGTACTGTATCAGGTGCTACTACAACCTTTTTTATCTTCTAGGAAAGATAGGTTTGTGCTTTTGCGATCGTCTTCTAACAACAATTTAGAACATGGCCACTACCCCTCGGACAATGAGAGCCCTACATTTTCTGTGTCTGTATCCGGGCCCCATAGTGCAAAAAAGTGTGGTACTATCCAAAAGACAAATGCTGCATTGAAACTAATATTGAACAAGAAAAACTGATCATGAAATTGAACAAGAAAAATTTTTGATATTGTACAAGTTTGAAACATAACTTCGGGGAAATGGCCATGTTCTAAGTCAGATAGAAAATGGGCTTGGGCTCGTTTACTGGGATATAGTGTTATAGTCCCATATACTGTACTATATCCCAGTAAACTCGCCTGGCCCATGGTCTATCTATAATATCATTGCTGCCGAAAATTATGGAGCTCGAAACGTTTCACTAGTAGCATGGGCAACCGTTTTTTTTTAAATTAAGAAACAAAATGGTAGTGGTCGCTTTGGAAAGTTTGACTGTTTCTTGAATAACTGAAAATCATGAAACTTTCCTCAGCTGGTCTGTCCAAGGCGCGTATCCAACCTTTGGACCACCGCAGGAACGTTGGTGCATTGACTCTCTTCCACCGTATATACCACAGAGAGGCACCAGAAAGATCAGGGACAGACAAAGTCAAAGATTCAAACGTGAAGTTAATTCTTTCCTCAGCGCAAAACTTTGACAGCGTTCTGTCTACTAAGGCAGTCCTGCTGCTAATGCTGAGTGAGAGCTGACATAGATTAAAAAAAAAACTGAATTAACATAGAATGTAACTGCCATCTTCCAGAACTCCCTACAACACCCTCCCCGGAAACGACTCCGCTACTTACAACGCCTCTCATTACAACGACTCTTTCAGGTAAGTAATTGATAAACCAGTGTGCATATTACTTAGTAATTTGGAGCACAAAGCTTCCTTCAACCCAGGGGTTTTTCTAGAAAAATTTAGCATGAGAGAGCAGATCGCAAGTATGGTGAAGGTGTTAAGTGACCGAGAGTTTTTTTAAATGAGAGTAACACAGTTTGTAATGCTAGAATGCATTGTTGTATTGTTTTTACATCTTCACTGGAAAAAGATCATTTTGAGAAAGACTAAATGGTGCCACTAAGGTTCAATCTGAAAATTGATTTGAGGGAGCTGGCTGGTTACATGAGGGAGAAGCTCCCTTATTCCCCTGTTTAGAAAAAAACCACTGTCCAACCCACTCCAGTCATGGGTTAGCCATCAACTCTTGTGCCAGGTCTTTTTGTTTTTGCTGCTTTCATTTCCACAGTCCTTTTCCGTGTCCCTAGAGCCGGCCTGTCTTACGCTTCCCTTTTTTTTCTTTTTTTTTCCCCGTCATCTTTATACAGGATGGCATCTTTATACAGGGTGGCCCATTCGGCCCCTTGGAGAGTCCATCTGAGGGCGACATACGAATGCCTGTTCTTGTGACTGTGAACGTTTCCACTTTCACAGTCCTTCTCTGTGTCCCTGGGGGGCGGCCTTTCTTACGCGTTCCTTGTGGAGTCCATCTGACGGCGACATACGAATGCCTGTTCTTGTGACTGAGCACATGCTTTATGTCTAGCAGTAATACCAGCAGTGTTGCCTGACAACTGTAATGCTCACTTTATGTTCACAGTATCAAAATTTCATTGTCTGAGAAAAGTGGACATGTTCACAGAACTATATATTCACGGTGGCGACAGGTGCAGGAAAAAGAAGTCAAGGAATTATTTGTTAACTGTAATGATAAGTTCACGCTACAGAAGTGACAGTGAAAACAGTGAATATAAAAGTACCATGAAAAAATCAGGAATTACAATACTGCCCTAGGCATCTGTACTCCCGTCTTATTGGCCAGAATTGGTTCCTGTTGATTTTAATGATAACTTTGCTGTTTAACGTCTGTTTCCAGACATCGACGACTGTGCGTCCTCCCCATGTGCACACGGAACCTGTACTGACGGCTATATGAGTTACACCTGTAGCTGTGAGAATGGCTGGACAGGGAACAACTGTGATCAGGGTTCGTGATGTTAACCATACACTGCTGCAATTAAACATTAGATACATTTCGATGGGTAACCGAGGCTTCTCACCGACCCCGCCCGGCTATAAACTAATGAAGTTATTTTACTTCTTTTGTAAAAAAAAAATGGAAACTGTACACTATGATTTTGTAGATGACGAAACATTAACCATGCGTCCGTAAATAATTTCATCAGGTTGGTAAACGAATGAATAACAAGTTCTTTGATCACAACCATTTTCGATGACCGTCTGCCATCTTCATCAGGGCAATTCTGACTGGTTTACTGTGCACTGACGCTAGATGTTACTTGGGTATCTAGCATCATCAGTGCACAGTAAACCAGTCAGAATTTCCCTGATGAAGATGACAGTCGGTCATCGAAACGTCGGCTCGGGAAAAAATAGATGGTTGTGATCAAAGAGCTTTGCTATTCATTAACCCAGCTTCTCGCCACAGATATCGACGAGTGTGCGACCAATCCGTGCCTGTCCGGCGGAACTTGTGTGGATCACGTGAACGGCTACAGCTGTGTCTGTCTTGAAGGCTTCATCGGAGATAAGTGTGAAACAGGTGTGGCTCTTTTTTCTGCTAGTTGGATAATGTGGACAGTCAGGGCAGCAGTTTCAAACCACGTTTAAAGTTAAAACTTTTGTTCCAACACAAAAAATTCTCTCACCTAGAGCTTTCGACCAGTCACTCTGGTCTTCATCAGTAGACTGACCCAGCGAAGCTTGTCACGTGGCTTCTTTGAAGTGTGACGTCAACACTGGGTCAAAGATATCTGGTAGACGATGTCAGCCCCCGTCACGGTTCGACATCCTACTGAGGAAGACCAGAATGACTGTTCGAAAGCTCTAGGTGAGAGAATTTTTTGTGTTGGAACAAAAGTTTTAACTTTAAACATGTAACTACCAACGATGAACTTTCATGATAGTATAAGAAGTGATTTTGGAAAGAGTATTTGCACTGCTTTTTTCCAGTCCCGTACGCTGGCGGCTGCCTGCTGTTCTCCTCCGATGCCTTGTCCTATCCCGAAGCGAGCCAGGAGTGCCAGACCAGGGGAGGGCACCTGGTGGATGTGAAGGAGGCCGAGCTGCAGCGGCTCATCGCTGACTCCATCCCTACCAGAAGTGACGTGTCCCCGTGGATCGGACTCAAGCTGTCGCCCGGAGTGATGACCTACACAGACGGGTCCAGTGTCTCAGGTTTCATACCTTTTAACATTTCCAGTGTTTAACTCTATCTAGACCGGGGGGGGGGGGGCTTAAAGAGCCCGCGCCAAATTTGATGTCGGATACTAGTAGCGTCGGCACGGCTTGCGCTAGAACCACCAAACTTGGTGTCTTTTCCTAAAATATTATCGGCAACAATTCTGTATCAGTGGAATACGATAATGATTTTTGGTGTTGCCCGGTCTAGATAGGGTTAAATGGTACGTCAAATCAACATGCTGATTTATCCTTGTTCGCAGGTTTGTTTATCTTTATTTAATTGTATCTTCCTGTTTGTTTGTTTGTTTGTTTGTTTGTTTGTTTGTATGTCTAGTCGTAGAATACCTTACGGGCTTCGCTTTACTTTTGTCGTGTCAACAAATATTGCTGTATTAAGATTGTTGTTGCAATTCCATCTCTTCCAGACCAGCTCCAGTGGTTAGCCAGTGAGCCTGCCATCTCCTGTGACCTGTGTACTTACCTGGACGGCACGAGCGGATATTTGGCCAAAACTGCCTCCTGTGCGGAACGACATCGGTACGTGTGTCAGTCTGGTAAGTAATAGATTCGTACCACGTGCACTCCGATAATTTTGTGTTATTTTCTATATCTCTTAGAAATAAAATTTAATCGACGTTTCTCCCATACAAGATGGGTTTTAAATGCTGATGACGTGGATTCAAAATCTATTAACACATACGACTAAGGGAAACTGTGGGAGAAAGTGAGCTATTTTCACTGATTTGCTAAGGCTGGGAGCTATCGTGGTTTCTGTCGGGGTAGCGAATGCAAGGAGCCCGTTACAATATACAACATACGATGGCACCCAGGCCAGAATCTGGTAGAAATCATTTAAAAATAGGTTCAATGACAATAACACGAGGCTTCTTGTAGTATTTTAACTTGTGCCGCTGATTACAGTCATATCTTATTCTTCTACAGAACCCAAACCCTGCCAACAGGACATCTGCTATAACAACGGCGTCTGTTCGACCTGCTTTAACGACTCCTACAGCGTCTGTGACTGTCCTGACGGATATGAGGGGGACCTCTGCAACATCAGTAATGTTGGCCTTTAGGCCACACCAATTTAAGTTGTTGTTTCTCGGAACCTTTCAGAAAAAAATCAGGAGCGACGGGGCAAAAAGAAAAAAGAAAACCATGAAGTTTTCTTTGCATGGACAGGGCGATCCGAGAAGAAACAAATTGAATTGGTGTGGCCTTATCAACTTTGCAGAAGGAAAACATTTTTGTCAAGTTTCTTCCTATCCATATTGAAGTAACATAGGATCAAATAATACATGTAACAGGCCTCTGCCACGACAATAGCTGTAGCAGACACCCTGTGGTGTTGGGTTACATTTTAATATTATGTTGCAAGATGGAGGGACTGATCACCAAACAATGTGCTTGAGCATGAATAAACCGTGGAGCAGTAGTTTGTCCAGCTAGACCATGGGAAGGTAAACAAATGGAAGAATACGATAACGCACCCTGTAGATGTAGGTGTTTGATGTGTTTTCTGTTCTACAGATATTGACGAGTGCTCCTCCAATCCTTGTCAAAACGGCGGAACCTGTCTGCACGGTGTGAACTCCTACAGCTGCCACTGTGATGTCGGGTACGGAGGCGAGAACTGCCAGAACGGTATGTATGGGTTTTATATAGAATAGTTAACCTTCATTGTTACATCATATACATGTATCAACCATCGCTCAACCGGGACGGGGGGGCGATATCGACTTCAGGCAACATTTGACCCTTTGCTGACGTCACACGTGGGAAAAATCACGTGTCCACAGCATTTGGGTCAGATAGCTGAGGAAGACTGAGTGATTCGGTCGAAAATTTCTGGTGAGTCAAATTTTGAGTTGGAGAAAAGTTTAAGTTTTTCATAATCATATACATGTACTCTGTACGTAAGTTGACGTTATCCACATATGTATTTAGCTTTTTTTAGATCTTTAGTTAAGTGTAGAAGACCATACAAAAGTCTCTGTACTTTTTTGTTGTGTCAAAAAAGAATCTCTATATTTCACGCCAGCGTCGTACGATGCACTGTCTGAGACGAAAACAATCGCTTAAGCATCAAAACTGTCAACAATCAGCTGAATCTTGCATGACCGTCCAAAAATTGTCCTCATTTTGTTATCGTACAACAAGCATACGGCGAATTTTGTCGGATACGGAGGAGAAAACTGCCAGAACGGTACGTTTGGTGTTCAGAAGAGAAATGTTATGCCATTGTCAAACGGTCTTTCGGGCACTGTCACTTGTACGATTTTGATGCTGTTGAATTCTGAATCAGACTATGTCAAAATCAATCGCCAAAAGAGCTCTAAGACCATGTACCACATTTTTCTGTCGCAGGACAGCTAAAATTTACAAAACACAGGCACGACTATCCCAAAAGATACCCATATCCCAAAAGATACCCAACAAATGTGGTCGCGCTCTTATATTTTGTATAGAATTCCGTGTAGTTGATGACTATGTAAAATATCTCGTACTTTACAGAAAATGTCTACGCTAGCCTAGAATAACAATGTGCCGTTATTCTGCCAGTGAGGGCACTGACAGTTGCAATCCTGCTCATATTGTTTTCAGATCTGGACCTGTGTGCCCAGTTTGCCTGTCCGTTCAACTGGCAGTGTCAGGACCAAGGCAACCACTTCATCTGTCTCGGTAAGGAGCTAACTCACTGTCATATGGAACCTTTAGCACGGTCGAGAACAGTCCAACTAGATACAATGTAAATTATTACATGTACTTCTTTCGACATGAATGAAACCTGGTTATTTTTGTGTCAGTAGGCTCTTGTCTATAGTTGAAATGGAACGTCCTCTTTAAAAACTAAGTACAACTGAAGTCTCTTGGATACATATTAAGCAGAATCCTCTTGGGTTTACTTTTATTTGTTTAGTCAACCCTGTATACACAGAATGTTAACAGAATTCTCTTCTTTTAGCTGGGACCAGGCTGGCGGAACCCTACTCGTGCAGCAGCGCCTCCTGTCCGGACGGCATGTACTGCAGGGAGGAGGGCGTGGCATCTTTCTCGTGCAGAGCCGGGTAGATTCCCGACTCGGCTGATCTGCAGAACAACGTGGCGAAGTAGATTCGAAAAGACGTAAAGCACGTTGGGCTGAATGAATAAAAGTTGTGCACTTGCCAACGCATCATTTGTCATCTTTTCTCGACATTTTGACTTTATGGCTATCTCAATCGCGTGTCAACTGATTGTTTATGACACCAAACTGAAATATGATAATCAAACATTGCCATTGACGTAACAGTGAACACAGCAACCAGTTCAGTACCTGGCAACACAGCTCACGGAAAGATATCACTCTGATAAGCAAACACAAACATAAAAGACTAGTCAGGATGAAGGACTGTTTGTTTTATAAAAGAACAGTCTTACTTTAAAACAGATGTTATTTATTCTATTCATTCTTTAATTCTAGCCCCTGGCCCATATGCATACGTAATACACACTCTTTAGATGTAACAGGCAGGCCATTTTTCTGACTATTTTCTAGCGGTGGACATTTCTATTTCGTGTCTTTGCCCTATGCAGAGCGCTACAAGATATCATTAGACAATGGTTAATAAGCTATAAACTGTGCAGCTGCTTGTAGATTCTGGACTCACATGTTTGAATGTGTCAACGTACTGTGGGCAGGGTCGAGGGTCAGGGATATGTGTCAGATCATTTTATTATATATCAAACAATTAAAGTCTTAACACAAAATTCTAAGTTTTGTTTTTAAATGGACCTAATTTTCGTTAGGGTGGGGGCTTCAAGTACTTCATTGATATGATACAATGATACATCGTGTTAACCAACATTGAAACTGGTGCGAAAATGTTAATTATAATGTTAATTATTATTAGATTGTTATAGAAAATGGTATTGTGTCATAAAACTCATACATAGTGACCATCTCTTATTGCACTTTTTTTCCTATTTTCGATACATACAATATATTTACGTCTTACGGTAATGAGAGTAACCCTCCCAATTGCCGCTGCTTTATCTCACTGTTCTGACGAACATTCTCTATATAGCCGGAGAGAATTATGTACTTTGTTTTAATTACAGAGTAAAGACGTACGTGTGCTAAGAATCAGGATACACGCAAGGGTCTGGGGCTTGTTAAAAAAACGGAGGCATTTTTTTTTAAATTTAGGGGAACGTACACGGAGGGGAACTACGCGTTTTGTTCTCCACGCTGTAGACAGGACAGTAGAATCTAGTCTTCTGCAATGCCCCAAAATAGCTTTAATTGACCTAAATCCGTTGTTTTCACAAATATTAATATCGCCCGTCCCTACCGGCCAGGTGTGTGGTTCCCATGGCCTATTTTGGGACACAGTATAAATTACCGCACACAGAACAAGCCTCACACACATCACGGAGTCAGGACTCAACTCAGCATATGGTGAATATGTGGAAGTTTCTGGTCTTCATCGCGGCTGTGGTCGTCTGGCCGGACTGGTCAGTAGGTGGGTTTAAATGTTCATTTTACCACAAAGCGACGACAGAATGTCTAATTCTATTCTTGTATTGTGCATTTATGTATTATAGTGCCATACGTTAATTCACCATATCAGTTTTGAGTAGTGAAAATGCTTGACGTGCGATTGACCAATTTTGGCCTGTAATTTTTCTACATGTATGCATTTGTCCGGGTAGGGGGGAGTGATGTTCAGAAATGGCATAGATATACGTGAAAAAACTATGTGTTTTAGGTAGTACATTAATCGTATACACCCCATTTCAATCACTTGGCTATCCCTTAGGCGAACGCCTCCCTATCTATATGTAGTTAGGCAAATGAGCTTCCTAGCATACGTATGCTATTAAGTATACTAGGAAGCTCATTTGCCTAACTACATTTGCCTAACTACACGTTTGCCTAAATAAAATAGGAAGCCCCATTTGCCTAACATGTAAGTACATGTAGGTGGGGAGGCCTTTTGCCTAACTGAATAAGTCGGCCTTTTGCTATATATGTGGGCTGCGTTCGTCTAATGGTGGGCTTGAAAGTTAGGCAAAAGGCCGACTTATTTAGTTAGGCAAATGTAGTTAGGCAAAAGGCCTCCCTACCTACATGTAGTTAGGCAAATGGGCTTCCTATCTTATTTAGGCAAACGGCCTATCTTAGTTAGGCAAATCGGCTTCCCATCTAAGTAGTAGTTAGGCAAATGGCTATGTTAGGTTATACGGACCACTCACATATGATTTATAATGAATTCTAGCACCTACGTTTCCCGAATAAACTCTGTACCCAGTCTAGTAATCAGTATTCAGCACATTTTCCATGTTTTGATTATTTGGTCAATTCAACAGACGTAAACTGAATAATTCAGGTGTTCCTAAAACTAACGTGTGATTTTTCCCTCCTTGAAGGCCAAGAATACTTGACCACGGTCGGCAGCTGGAATTTTTACAAAGTTCAGGCTTCTGGACCCATGTTTAATGACAACGTCAAGGTCACTTGCGAGTCGATGGGAATGAGATATCCGTGCTACACCTCAGGTAGTGCTAGGTGTGCCTTCCGCTGGACCTCAGACTGCATCACGTACGACCACGCCGGTGTCGAATGTATTACCCTCAGAGTCCTCTCGGCAAACCTGTGTGGAACTACGGACGGGTACGGCAGTTACTGCCAGCCCCTTGATGATACCTTTGTGTACTGCCCTGACTACTGGAGTGATGGCAGCGCCTGGGGAGTGGACTACGAGACTCACACCTTCAACCTGCATGGAGCGGACTACAACAACATGTACGCCCTGTGTGCGGGTAAGAACCCATCATTCATGTCGTTTCACGCCAAAAAAACTTACTGACTATCAGAGTATATTAACCCTTAGCTAATGAGTAGTAATTTACAACAATAGATTTCTATATACATAATGTATTACTACGATCGAAGTCATTTACTGCTATTTATCTCGTCTGTTTTTTTTAAAGGAAGTAGGACCAAGATGGTTCGTAAAGTGACACGTGGTTAGCGTACAATTCTGGACAAATATACGGCTCAAAACAAAAACAATCAAAACAGGATGACCCTCGTCTTATTTGAAACAGAAATTGTGAATTATCAATGTTTACTGATCCTTCACCCTGGTTATACTGTCAGAAAACTCTCTCTGAAGCGTGTAAGTTTCTACATAAGGTGATGTGGACGTATTTATTGATATGCATCGTTTAACAACATTATTATCTGCCCAGGTTTGATATTCATAATTGATGCTGTCGCCTTTTCTATTTGGCATTAACCACTTCACCATTTTCAAACTCTTACAGATTGGGATGAGTGCAGCAGCGCCCCCTGTCAGAACCAGGCGACATGCCAGGACCAGATTAACGGGTTCACCTGTCAGTGTGCGCCCGGGTATGCTGGAACTCTCTGTGAAACAGGTAGGCTTCCGTCATGCATTTTTATCAATGGTCACTGTTTATCTATCTAAGCTAAACCAAAGAGCTTCAACGTGATATAAAGTCCTTTGTTAAAAATCAGTTGCAGTTAGTAATTGAAGCCTTTGCCTTTTCTTCTGTTGTAATTATATTTTGATGACTCGATCGTTTTCCAAGCGTCTTGACACTCTTGCAGATATCGATGACTGCATCGGCGTCACCTGTCAGAATGGAGCAGTATGCCATGATGAGTTTAACAGCATCACCTGTCAGTGTGTGCCTGGGTATACTGGAACTCTGTGTGAAACAGGTGGGTGTCTCCACAGGGGAGACTCGACATTTGAAGCTTTTCTCCTTAATTTATGTAATACAATTTTAATATGACTTTTTCCCCATCGTCCCCATACCCTTACAGAAATAGACGAGTGCGGCAGCGCCCCCTGTCAGAATGGAGCAGTATGTCAGGACGGGTTGAACAGCTTCACCTGTCAGTGTGTGCCTGGGTATACTGGAACTCTCTGTGAAACTGGTAGGTTTGCAAATAAAGAATTAATTTATATAGATTATAAAAGGCCTTCTAGCTTTCTCACTCTTAACCATATAAATACAAGATAATGATTAACGGCCATATAAAACGTTATGTCTTTGAAGTAAGATTCGCCACGTCATTGCGATTGTATAACATTCTCATTCCTTAAATCCACTAGTGCCTCTTTACCACAGATATTGACGAGTGTGCGAGCAGTCCGTGTTTAGGAGGCGGAACCTGTGTGGATCACGTGAACGGCTACAGCTGTGTCTGTCCTAAAGGTCACGTGGGAGACAAGTGTGAAACGGGTAAAACAATTTGAACATGTTGCAGTAGTAATGATATCTTTTTTGTTTGTATTTCTGACAACCACGTTTGAATTGGTAAACAATAATGACAGCAGTGCCAAAGTCAGCAAAACAAATATTGGTGAATTCCAGAGCTGAGATTGTCGCGGAAATACCAACTATAACAATGATGATGAAGATGCTCACTGCTCACCTGCTCACCCGGACGCCTGTAGACCTTCTGGTCTGTCAGTTGTCAGCCTCTGGGTCAGGTTCCTCCATGCTACCCATGATGAAGATGGTGATGATAAATATGAATTACAAATCATTTTTCCCTAGTTCAATACGCTGGCGGCTGCCTGCTGTTCTCCTCCGATGCCGTGTCCTATCCCGAAGCGAGCCAGGAGTGCCAGACCAGGGGAGGGCACCTGGTGGATGTGAAGGAGGCCGAGCTGCAGCGGCTCATCGCTGATACCATCCCTACCGGAAGTGACGTGTCCCCTTGGATCGGACTTAAGATGACCCCTGGAGTGATGACCTATGCTGACGGGACCAGTGTATCCGGTTTGATGCCTTCAACATTCGCTTTCTAAACGTCATCCTTTCCTGCCGATAGGCCGGTCACATTCGTCAGACGATCGCTGTGCCATCGGACACAAATGGCGCTCTCCTCGCACAAGTTTTTCTGTTGATCTGTCTTGCTTAGAACTAGTTATACAAATGATATGCCCATGTTTATTTGATATTTATATGCTTCTACGTAGATTACTCCAATCGCTCTTTTTGTATGGTTGTGTAGCTGTAGCAGTTACGAATGTCTCTGAACTACTGTATAAAGAGCCCATAAATATCAATGTCATCTCTTTTAGACCAGCTACAGTGGTTGGGTAGTGGGCCTCCTACCTCCTGTGACCTGTGTACTTACCTGGACGGCACGAGCGGATATCTGGCCACAACCGCGCCGTGCGCAGAACGACATCAGTACGTGTGCAAGTCTGGTGAGTAAAGATTTTTTAATATTCCAATAATCTTTTCTTTTCAATGTCTTTTCTTGAGGAGGTTGAGGTTAGTTTGAGACTTGTGTAGCCTCAAGAACTAAAGTCTCGACCTAGTATCGTGTTCTCGGGAGAACAAGGCGTACAGTGGACGTGGAAAATTTGGACGTCGAAAATATGTCAGTTCTACCTTTTCAAATCTTCGCTGTTTGAGGAATATCATATCAACTGCCAATATCTCTTCGAACTATTTTTCATTAATAACATTGATACGTCTCTTAATGATGGCGTCGATTCCAAAAAATAATTATAAGTGCCATTCAGGAAAACTGTAGTATTTGCATGGTATTCGTACTTTTGACGCTATTAACACTCACACGTTGTTCCTCTGTAGACCCGAAGCCCTGTCAGCGGAACATCTGCTACAACAACGGCGTCTGTTCGACCTGCTTTAACGACTCCTACAGCGTCTGTTCCTGCCAGGCCGGATATGAAGGGGACCTCTGCAATATCGGTAATGTGGCCCTTTATCATGTCAAGCTTCGCAGACTGAAAACATTCTTTTTGCTAAGTTTCTTCTCCAAACGCTTTGTACTTGGGTCATTCGTCTGTTACTATTGCTGTAGCAGACTCCCTGTGGTGTTGGGTTACATAACGTTGCAATAGCCTCCTTCGCAGTCTTGTTTATGTTGGGCGTCGGCGTTATTTTTTCTCTGAGCGACGCGAGTAATATGCGGCCGCGAGGGACGATTTGCTGCCGAGGGAGTTTTAGCCACTGAGAGAAGATTTCGCGCGGAGGCTAACGTTGCAAGATGCAGGGACTAATCACTATTTAATGTGCTTTAGTTACAATAAACCGAGCGGAGCAGTAATTTGTTAGGATAGACCATGTGAAGGTATTAGAACAGATGGGAAGAATCGTGATTGCACTCTGTATAATAGTAGTAGATGTCTGACGTGTTTTCTGTTCTACAGATATTGACGAGTGCGCCTCCAATCCTTGTCAAAACGGCGGAACCTGTCTGCACGGTGTGAACTCCTACAGCTGCCACTGCCAGGTCGGGTACGGAGGAGAAAACTGCCAGCACGGTGCGTTAAGTTTTTAAAGATGAATTCACGCCTTGGTTACTAATAAGCGGTTGTTAGGGCGCGGCCACGCTCGTTCTACGATTCTAAGGCTGCAGAATTCTTAATCAGAACCAATCGCCAAAAGCCGAAAGACTACCTTCATCCCTTACAAGACAGATGAGTTTTGCAGGACACAGCCACAGGCACGACTATCTCCAAAGATGTCCTTAGATTTTGTTCGTACGACAATCGCACGACAATCGATGTAGTCGCGCTCTTATATTTTGTATAGCCTTGTGTACACTTGATGACGATGTAAAATATCTTATCATGCTACTTTATGTAGTTATTATGGACGTGAGGCCACTGTACTGACAGTTGCATTCCTGCCTATATTGTTTTCAGACCTGGACCTGTGTGCCCAGGTCGTCTGTCCGTTCAACTGGCAGTGTCAGGACGAAGGCAACCACTTCATCTGCCTCGGTAAGGAACTAACCCTTTGAGCATTTAATACCTCTTTTGACAGAAATTAAACCAGGTCCTTTTTTTGTGCCAGCAAGCTGTTTATCGTAGACATGGAATCTACCCTTTAAAAACCACAAATACATGAATCACTAGACACAAGTCTTTTGGATAATCTTTCATTTGTTTATCTAAGCCGGTATACAGAGGACTTAGAAAACATTTGCAACATTCTCTTTTCAGCTGGGTCCAGGCTGGCGGAACCCTACACTTGCAGCAGCGCCTCCTGTCCGGACGGCATGTACTGCAGGGAGGAGGGGCCGGCATCTTTCTCCTGCAGAGCCGGGTAGATTCCCTGCTGCACGTCAGACCTGCAAAAAAACGTGCTACATGGGAGAGGAGGGCATGGATAGCACGTTGGGCGGAATAAAAGCTACAGAAATCCACATTCACTCGTATTCTCATTTCTCTCTGGTATATCTTTTTTTTTTATTCCAACATGTAATAATAACCAGACGTGGTGACGGTACACTCAAGTTTTTTCAACTTTCAAGGAAAATCGTGTAAAGTGCCTTTCCCAAGGGCACAAGATCGGTGGCATGTGAGGACTCGAACCCGGAACCTCTACGTTCCAAGTCGCGCACTCTGCCGATACACCACTCGACCCCACCTGGTACATGAGCCTTATATCAATACGATAACCCTTACCGTCGTTTTGCTTATGCCTTCTTGGCGATGATGACGTACGTACATCTTACGTGTGCTCGCAGCGCAAACGCTGAGGCTCAGTTTTTCCTTCACATCACACCGGGCATGCGCCAGAAGCGCTTGCTTGGGGTCTTCGTTTTTTTATATTCCAACATCTAATCACAAGACGTGATGACGGCACACTCAATTTTTTTTTTCAACTTAGGCCATGTTGATTTGATTATATGGATGACATCTTCTGGGAACCCCAAAACTGATGCGCGCGTGCGAATAAAAAAAAGTTTTGCAAAACAAAAAGTTGCTTTCACTATGAAATCTACGTGGTCATGAAGGTTGAACAAATGGCACAGAATATGTTATGGCGGATAATCTACTCTTCGAATTCATTTCTTTACATTTTTGTCTTTTTTCCTTTGATTTTGTCATTCTACGACATTGGTATCGTTTCTAAATATTTTCCTTGCAACTTATGGTATATTTTTGCTCATTTAGCAACTGTTTTGCACGATTTACAGTATGGTTGAAAACTTTTTTTTTTTTGGAAATGGCCGAAAATTCATGCGCGCGCGGATGTCATCCATATAATCAAATCAACATGGCCTTATATTAATGCCGCCACCAACACAGGGGACAGTACAATACTTAGTAACTGTATCTATACGTGACAAATAAATCTCTTCAACTACCTGACTATAATTAACCAGGCGGGGTTAGGGTGGATACTTTCTTTGCAAGGGAAGTTTGGTCTCAATATTGAATATTTACCCGCGCGAATGTTAAATACTACCTTTACCACGGTTCACTTTCCTGTGTCAAATGTTTGGCGAATATCATTATGATTTTTTTTTCAAATTGACATAAAACTAAAACAAAACAATGTAAAAAAAAGGCTGAATTACGTAGTTTTAAGGAACACACAATTGTACAAAATATCAATAATATTTACCAACATAACCAAAGTAAATAACAAGAATATATACAATTGGTAGTCGGGTAATTACAACGAAGCCAAGCCAAGAATTACACGGTAGACAAAGCACTGTTTAAGAGTTTTGACAGGTATGGCATAGCACTGTTCAGATCTTATGGAGGGTAGGCTAAGCTGGAACCCCCTTTTAAGTCCCTATTGTCTACTTCATTGTGGATCTTACTACATGTACTATAATCCCTAAGGAACGAAGTCTAACAAGTTACACCCATCACCTGGTCTGCCTCACGCCGGTGTTAGTGAATCAAAATATGTTTTAATGGGCAAGTTTGGAAACCTTGCGGCATGCGCACCGATGTTGCCAAGGATGTGGTATTTGTTTTGTGACTTCATACTGTGATACGCGGCAAACTGCGGCGTGTATTATCGCACAACGTACCAGCTAGCCCCACTCGCATCACACTGTCTTAAGACTGAAGTCACGAGACGGCAAGGATGTGGACGTTCTTGTTCTTGATCTTGGCTGCCATGGCCTCCTCGGCGTCTTCTCGAGGTTAGTATATAGTTGCCATTGGGCCACACAGTCGTGCAATCACTACAGCAGGGGGCTAGTCCACTGGTAGTGGTGTGTGTTTAACTCCCAACTCCCATACACACAGGCCACTACAGCAGGGGGCTAGTCCACTGGTAGTGGTGTGTGTTTAACTCCCAACTCCCATACACACAGGCCACTACAGCAGGGGGCTAGTCCACCGGTAGTGGTGTGTGTTTAATCCTCAATTGCCAAATACTCCTTCCCAAATGCTGATTGCTAAGCAGAACAAGCAGTATGTACCATGTTTAAAGTCTTTGGTATGACTCCGCCGGGGATCGAACTCACGACCTACCAAATGCAAGACGAGCATTCTACCCACTTTAAGCTATTGCACCGGTTTATACGCATATTGTATATACGTAGTGCACCATTTTTGGCTTTAGGGGATGGTGGTGGGTGGGATTAATGCCAGTGAATTTAACAGCAACATTTGAAAAATCGTATTTTCTTTCTTATCACAGCGGTTGGGAGGTCTTCTGGCGTGTACCAACCCATTGGCGTACAGAATAGCAGCATCATTCCAGATGGTCTGATGACAGCTACATCGCAACTAAACGGGTCCGAGGCGTACAGGGGCCGCTTGAACGGCGATGGAGCCTGGCAGCCGTCTGGACAAGATACAGTGCGGTTCCTGGCCGTGAACCTAGAGAAAATGTATTACGTGTTCGGCATCCAGACCCAGGGACAGGGAGATGGCTACGTCGAGACGTTCAGGATCTCATACCAGACGGACAGCTCACCGCAGCTGATTGGCTACTCGGAAGATCTTGTGAGCGCCAAGGTGAGTGGTTAAATGGCAGTGGATTGATGTTCTAGTCTTTCTCGGATTCTCCCTTCCAGCATACGACACCCATAAAGGGCTGTAAATACCACCAACGGCTTTTACAGGAGGGGAAACAGAATCTCTAACAAATTAAGAATAACTCAAATCACTCTTTTGATTTGTATTGCTGTTGGCAATCATTGCCAACCCATTAGGTAAACACAAATCTATAGTTGCTATAGTTATAACACACCATGCACATGTGCACATGAAGACAATTTATAGAATATTAAAAGAATAAACTAGAAACGCCAATTAGGGCCTTGGGGGTTGCAGCGACAAGTCAGGCTGACATTTTGCAATTCAAACGGTGTCTTGTCCAGTCAGTAATCGGCAAGTTCCAGGACAACTTTGACACAGACAACATATGTACATGGTCTGCGGCTTGCAGGTGTGGAACATGCATAGCGTTAAGACCGCGCTGACATTTACGTAGAATGATATTTGATTTATTACATGTCCATACTTTTGTATGTATATTTATGTATTGCTTTCATAATGTGTTTAAATCCAATGCTGTTTTATACTGTTTTTATTGATGTAATTAGGGGATGGAGCTGTTAAAGGTGACCCACCTGTTCTCCCTCCCCGTCCACGCATGTGCTGGAAAATTTTAATAAACAAATAAACGAACAGATAAACAAATTTAACTGCAGCTCACCTCCAGTAGCAAGATGTCACGGAGTCAGTAGGGAACCAGGATGAGTCCATTCGTAATGGTTACTGCCTCACTGGGCAGTATCGAGCAGGCCTGGATAGAGGAGGTTGTTGATTTAGAGCAAAATAAATTAAGAAAGCTTATTAAGAAACTGTTATGAAATAAAAACTAAGCTTTAACTTCCAACGCTTAGATTACAGAATTGGGACTTACCCCAAGTTAAGTTTAAAAAACACACCTTGTATGATGGTAGTGGTATATACCAGTGGGTTCGTCAGTTGAACGCCACCCGTCATGGGGAATTTCGGCCCTTAGTTCAATATTCCCTCGGGGTGGGGGGCCAGCAGTGCAAAAAGCACCACCACCCACTGGTGAGCTGTCGCCATCAGTCCTGACGATTGACTTTTAAAACATTGTTCCATTACTGGTGCAGCGTTCGAAGTTCGAAGCGGAGTCAGAGTTCGAAACACCTGACGGCTGGTGACTGTCATAGGTGAATGCTAACGGTCGCTTCGCTTCCGCCTTTCCTCAAGTAGGTACTTGTTCCAGATCCATGCAGATCCTGCCTCCGCTGCTTCTGCTGCTGCTCTTGTTGTTGATTTGATTTCTTTTCTGCTGAGGCCCATCTTGTTTAGCCATTTGTGAAGAGATGCGGCAACAAACCCTCTGCATCCTAATTCGAAAGGGTAGCATGATGACCCCCAGCCTTTGTCCCTGCACACTGCCTCCAGTTCCGCATATCTTGTTAACTTCCGTTCATAAGCCTCCTCTATATTGCCCTCCCATGGCACTGAAAGTTCTCCAAACACCACCTCTCTAGAACTCTCCGACCAGATTACTATATCAGGGCGCAATAGCGTAAGAGCAATTTCCTGTGGGAAACCGCCTTCCCCATCCAGGTCGGCCTTTACTTTCCAGTCGTTTGCAGCTGAAAGGATGCTAGGTTTACGCTTGGAGCTGGTGTCTTTCCTCGGCTGGGAACCTTCCTTCAGAAATGGGGTGAAGTACTGATTACCGGCGGGTACCTCCTCGGCGTTGACACATTCAACTCTCCCCTTGATAGCGTCCACTATCACTCTCAGTACATTGTTGTGCCTCCACGTATATTTCCCACTAGAGAGTGCGGATGGACATGCGCTGAGGATATGTTGCAAGGTGCCCTTCTGCCCACATGCTGCACAACAGTCTGACCGCTCCTCATACCATTTACTCAGATTCGCTGGTGTCGGTAGAAGATCGTACGTGGAGCGCCACAGGAACGAGATGCGGAGAGGTTCCATCTGCCACAGGACATTAAATGAAATGTTCCTTTGCTCAACACTCTCCCAGGTTGTCCACATTCCCTGCTTAGCCTGTCCGGCTGCTACAGCAACCCTCTTCTCTTCATCCTGTTCTCTTACTTCCTGCACAACCATCTCTCTTCGCTCCTTCTCCGTTGCCGATGACCACCACTTGTGACGAATCAGCCCAAGTCCTTGACGGCCAGTCTGGGTCGCACCAACTACTTCCTTGTGCCTAAGCCTCGCCTCAGCTTCTTCTACCGCAGCACTTACTCTCCACTTTCTTCCAGACCTTAAATCAGGCTGAAAGTTTCTAATCACTGGGTCTTTGGAGTTACTTAAGGTCATGGAGGTTCTCACTTTGGCCACCTTAAACTCTTCCACAAGTGATCGCACTGGGATATTCAGCTTTGCCTTCCTACTGTGAATTGCAATGTTTGTGAAATTTTCCTGGGCAGTATCCCGGGCAACACCTGGGCAAATTCCTCTGATGTTCTGTAATCTAAGTGTTGGAAGTTAAAGCTTAGTCTTTATTTCATAATGATTTGTACCAACACAGATGAATTTTCATGCTAAGTTAAGTTAGCTGTATTTGAATATAGTAAATTGCTTGACCATATATTTCTTGTTTTTCTCAGATCTTCACCGGTAACAGCGACAGCGAAACTATCGTCCAACAAAACTTCACCTCCTACATCCACGCCCGGATTATCATCATTAACCCGCAAACTTACTTCGGTGCTCCCAGACTGAGGATGGAGTTACTCGGAGTTGAGGGTAAGAACATTGACATCACCAATGTAGGAATTGACTCTTAGAGGAGATTGATTGCTTAACTGTTCATATTTATGCATCCTTCCAAGTACTGTATCACTACCTTGCTCTATACATGTAGTTAGGAAAGAGCGTTTGTGTTTTTTCGTTTGTGTCTACTATCAATAAATTGTTGCCAAAAACTATGGCGCTCGAGCCATAGCCATCCAATCTCGTACCAGGTCTTTTTGGCTGTGCTGCTTTTATTTCATTCCACAGTCCTTATCCACAGGACCGGCCTCTCTTACGCTTACGCTTCCCTTGGGGAGTCCATCTGAGGGCTAAATGTTCTTCTGTTCTTGTATGTGTCCATATGTTTCATGTCTAGCACTTACAAGAGCAGTGTGCTCTGACAATACTGCCCTAGCCATCTTTACTCACGTCTTATTGACATGAATTTGTTTTCTGTTGATTTTAATGATAACTTTGCTATTTAACGTATGTTCCCAGACATTGGCCCAGACTGCCTGTCCTCCCCATGTGTACACGGAACCTGTACTGACGGCTTGGCGAGTTACACCTGTAGCTGTGAGAACGGCTGGACAGGGAACAACTGTAATCAAGGTAAGAATTAAATAAAAAATGCATGTCCACTTCGTAATTTATTGTTGAATATATTCTATATCTGCTTTTTAAGATACAACCTTAGAATTATAGTTGTGTGCATCTGTAGCTGATAATGGAGTATATAGATAGTCTAGATAAATCATAAAATCAAAGATTACCAGCAGATGTGTGGTCACTGGGTTGATAATCTGTTGAAATATCTTAAGAGTTTGCTTTACTTGTCCATTATACATAACAATGGTGGAAACATACTACTAATGAACAGTTATACGGTTCGTTACTTACCAAATGTCACTACAGTAGTTAAATGTCGAAGGCCGGCCATGTAGTACGTAGTGAAGAACCAGCCAGTAGGCTTCTACTTTGTAACCCTGATACGAAGAGAAGAGTTGGACGTCCAAACATAACACTTAAAAAACTTATAACACTCTTGGAGGGACTGGAACTTATCTCTGCGATGAATGACAGACACTTCTGGAGATCAAACTTTGTATGCAACACCTCTTCGGAGGATGATAGATGATGATGGTGATACATAACAATAACTTATTCATGCAGAAATCGACGAGTGTGCGAGCAATCCTTGCTGGCTGGGAGGGACCTGCCTGGATCACGTGAACGGCTACAGCTGTGTCTGTCCTAAGGACAAGGCAGGAAAGCACTGTGAAACAGGTACTGATTTTTGTATGTACCTCAAAGGTACATATTCATTGCATGTTAATTTTGCTGGTTACACAGAATCGGTAATTACACAATACCATATATTAAAGATAGAATAAAATAGAGAATCAACTGGATACTTTCTCTGGAGCTTGTCACTAGTAATTGATAATGAATGTTCTCAGAAACACTTGGTTTTTAGAGAATTAATCTAGTTGCTTGATTTACTCTGCATTATCTATTGTTTTCTTTCTTCGTCTTCCAAATCTCAGTGACCTTTGCCGGAGAATGCTACCAGTTCTCGTCTTCCGCTCTTACCCATCAGGAAGCAACACTGGCCTGCAGTACCAATGGCGGCCGCATGGTGGATCTAAAAGACGAACAGCAGCAGCTTTTCCTCGCTGACCAGATCGCGGGAACTACAGGAGCTTCCAACTGGTTGGCGATGAAGGCCGCCCCACTGGCGTTCATGTACAGCGACGGGTCAGCTATATCAGGTATAAAAGTCTAGTTAGTGCTAAACTAAATAAAACTCTATGGTGTTTTGAGTGTATTCAAACAGATGTTACATTCAATAGCGCAACATTGCTGGATTTGAGCTTAATTGTAGAACAGCTATGAGAATGCTAGGGAGTTGGGATGAAGTTGATGATATTTATGTTTCTAACACCAGGTCCCCTGCAGTGGTCTACGAGTGCTCTTACCAACCCATGCGACCTGTGTGTCCTCATGGACAGCTCCGACAACTATCTGGCTAACGTAGCCCCGTGCACGGAGCAGCACAACTACGTCTGTCAGGACGGTATGTACGTAACGTTAACACGTGTTACGCAATCTCTCACGCGCTCCAGGAGCTGATTGGTCCTCTCTTGTTTTCAGAACTATTCTTTATCCAAAACACTTCTTATGTACGGTCCTGGATGGTCCATACGTATCCAAAACCGTGCCAAGGGAAAATCTACGTTCTTGATCTTGGATATGCGGAGACGTGCCTGATCCTAACCCTCAGGCATAGCTGAAATACGACCATTTTATGTCAACAGTGTTAGATGCTGTATGATGGTGTATTTTTTTTGCTCTAGCACTGAAACCATGCGAGCAAAACGTGTGTCAGAACGGCGGAAACTGCACCTCCTGCTTCAACGGGTCTGCCGCCTTCTGCCGGTGTCCTGATGGGTTCGAGGGCAAAGTTTGCGAAATCAGTACGTACACTTAATAACAGTTGTTTCACCTTGCTGATTTTAATTGAAGAACTTTGCTATTTAAAAGTAAAAAGACTTTCATATGTTTCAATATTTTAAGAATTTGTGAAAATCCTGATATTCCATATTGTGTGCTCTCCTTTAGATATTATTGTATATGATGAATTGCATTTTTATGAATTGCGTCTGGAAAGCAGCATAGGCTTTATAACATATTGAAGTTACTCTCCATTTTGAACAGACATCGACGAGTGCCTCTCCAATCCGTGCCAAAATGGCGGAACCTGTCAGGACGGCGTCAACTCCTACAGCTGCCGCTGTCCAACCGGGTTCCTCGGGGACCACTGCGAGTTTGGTTCGTGTGTTGTTGACAATATTCTTTGGACATTCTACCAGTCGATTGTCGTTTTTTCCAATGGTCCGATCTTCACTATAGCTACCTTCGTCCAAACTTTTTACGTCTTTTCTTTCCTTTATTTAGACATGGACTGGTGTTCCCAAGCACAATGCCCGCTTGGCTGGACCTGTCAGGACTTCAATTTCTACTTTTTGTGCCTCCGTGAGTAATAATAATAATTGTTTATTGATTGATCGAAGATAGAAGAGTACAATCGCTAGCATGTTGCAGCGCAACTAATAAGTAGTGCTGAATTATATGCTAGTTTAAAAACAGAGATACAAATATTGCACAGTTAACAAATACACAACTAGACAAGTGAGTATTTCACATTTAACGTATAGAAAACTAAATATTAAGCGAGTAAAATGAACTTAACAATATTTACAATATCAACATCATCAGTGTAAAAATTATTAATTTTATAGTATGGTACGTGATAACTGATCTTGGTAGGGCTGGTCATGGGAGATTTACTATGTGCCATATTTGTTTAATAGACTTGTAAGATAGGGGATCGGGCTATTTTTGTATCGATTTGTTCTCGGGAGGGGGGCAAAGAGCTGGTTAAACTAAGGTTGTTACTACAACGTGACTGTTTTATTGCTGACTAAAATACTTCTGTTAGCAAAGGAGGGTATTAAACAAGTTAAACATCATCGATAGTGACAAAATATATCTTTAAGATTCTGTTGCATGGATGATATATCCTTACACTGCAGACAAAAAGATGCAGTATCATATACATTATTTTGAGTTTGTTAATCTGCTTTTACGGTAAATTTTGCCATTTAATTTCTAGCGGGTTAGTCATCTTTCGGCAGGCTGGTAGAACGACGTTTTGTGTTGGCTGCACACATATTGTTACAACAGCGTCCACCCAAGATAAAATTCTATGTCAACATGAATTTCTAATTGGCATATTAGTACTTACTCTTAATCTCCTTAGTTCACAAGTAAATATCGTGGTTAAGAGTCTTGATACTGTTGCATTCCCTTCCAGATCCTACACCCATTACCCGGGAGTTCCCCTACCAGTGCAGCAGCGCCTCCTGTCCGGACGGCATGTACTGCACCGAGGAGGGCGTGGCGTCCTTCTCCTGCAAGGCTGTGTGACGTCACAGTCAAAACGTCATGCACGCAGCAAACAGCCAAAGGCTGACAGGCGTGTCCGCCAACAAGCTTTCTCCTGATTCTGATTTGATTTAAAATTGCAGAAAATAAAGAGCTTCAAAAATCATATTCTTGGCCTCTTTCCTGGCTTTTGCACCGATCCATAATGTACTGTACATACATGTAACCGGTACATAACTTGCCAACAAGGCTAATTAAAGTAGATAGCAGGATCGGTCTTACTGATTCTTAGTCTAATTAAAGTAAAAGTTAGAAGTCAGTTTAAACAACAACCCCAAGCTACGATATTCACAGTTTCTGTTCATTATTACCTAGGGATACGAAGTCCGGGCTATTCTAGCCTGTTCCACTTCAGCTCAATGTCACTGTTGCAGAGTAAAGAATGATTTTAGCACATGGTAAATGTGAACATACATGCTGACACTGTCGACATGTCGAGCTGAATGAAACCTTGCCGAAGGATAAGTGTTCCACACACATATAAAAAGTAATTTCATTTAAGAAAACCGTAAGTTGGATTACATTATGGTAATTACAGTCTCATTTCCATAATCAATGAGACTAACAAAACATTTACTGAAAAGCTCTGAATATTTAATGGCGGTACGAGGTCTCCGGAAGCATGTTAGAACTGTACCTGACGCAAAACAGTATCCCAGTGGTTCACCTGAAGTAACGCCTCCTTACGTCGATGAAGGTTAGACATCAAGGTAATACGATACGCCAAAAAGCAGTTACTGAAGCAACTGGATATGATTTTGAAAACGTCAGGCATTGCGGGGCGGACACAGTTTGCCATTTATAATGTGTGGTTAATAAAGGTACTCTGAAATCTGAGATAAGCACCAGTAATGGCCTCCTTTACATGTATATACCCTCCATAAATTTCACCTCAGCACATTAATAGTGGGTCTGTGGAACCCCCGGGGATCACAGTGGGTAATTAGCAGCCGGGTCTCTGGCTGGCCCCTATCGCCGCGTGGCTTCAGTCTGTCGCCACGCGCTCTTGTGCGGAGGCGGTCTTGTGTCTCTCACACATTCCACCCTCGTTTCCCACCTCAAGACTTTACTACAAGCTGCCGGTTTCCCCTCAGACAAGTTCTCCGGACACAGTTTCCGACGCGGGGGCGCCACCGCAAATTTCCGTCTCGTAAACGGTCGTCGCCTTTCCGAACGGTCGTCGCCTTTTCTCAGAACGGTCGTCGCCTTTTCTCAGAACGGTCGTCGCCTTTTCTCAGAACGGTCGTCGCCATTTCCGAGCGACCGAACTTCAGTTCCGAATATCCGCGGCATGTTCGGGACTTCCCGGAGTTCTTGGAATGTGTGAATCGCACTCAGTCCATAACATGGCGACCGTAGGCGGGCCAGAAAAGTAACTTGTCTCCTCAACTGCTGATTTTATAAGATCAGCATACGATCCTAGGCCTGGATCTTCTCCAGCCTATTCTTGTTTCCCTTCGCCAGCAAACTGAAGAAGGGTTCATATAATGCCGTTTATACAAATGACAAATGAATCTTCAACCAAAAACAAACATAGATTCCGTCCCTGTGCTATATTTCTCAATCCCTGTGGTATGTATTCCTTTCGTTTACGTTAAAATTACATGTAGGATTAATAAAGGACCTGCTGTTTTAGAAGGGGGACAATGTCTTACTTTGACAGGAGTTTTGACAAACTTGTAAAGCTATTTTCATCCCGAAATGTCTATGTTTTGTTACCTTGCTGAATGTTAATACTTGACACATTCACCACTGCACTGTATGTAAATACGACACATTCACTGGGTAGCACATCAATGCCATGCTGGTGACAAGTGTGAAATGGCCTGCCATGCTGGGCAAGCACTGAGACAACAAATAAAACCCGGCTGTGGTGGAGTTGTGAGTCAGTCAGTCAGGACATAATGTCCTTGGTCAGAGTAAATGCCTGCATGTGTGATGGTGCTTCCGAATGAATGTTTCTGAGTCAGACCATCCTGCAGCATTCATAAATTACATGCTCGCACAATGGGCTGTTCCAAAAATACATGTGGAGTTTTTCTCGCCCCCGTTTCAAATTCAGCAATGTATGAAAACCTACAAACGTTCTAGTTCAGAGGGGTTTTTTTTCAAATAATGTTTATTCGCATTTCAAAAGGAAACAAAGAAAAAAGGGAGAGGACATGTT